AAATAGTGAAGAATAAAACAAGACTGTAAATCATTTTAACAAATCAAGTTTTCCCAATTTAGTATATTTGGAACTTCACACATATATGTATATAAATACAATGGTGTCACCCGTGGTGAAATAGATGAATAAGAGTCTAGAATCACTATAGAATAATAGGTTATGCTGATGTTGAAATGACCCTTCTTCATGGAGTGGAATGGCAGAAGGGGTAAAGCGAACAGATGAGTTTGCTTCTAAGAGCCTTTATAGAACTGTCACTAACTCTTTATCTTAGAGTTTCTTGACACATGAACTAATCCTTAACTATCTAAGTCTTGAATTCAAGCCAAAACACACAGATGTAATCCAGCCTAAAGTAGAGTTTCCCGGTGGAGCAAGTGCTGGCCTTTGGAATGGGTCATGAAAGTAACTTAAGGAACTCCAAAGTATATCTTTCAGAGTTAGAAAAATGTGCACAGAGGGGATGTGTGTTTGGTTTTTTTAAGTAACCTAATGGTGTTAGTGATTTAAAATTCTCATATTGAGTTAATCTGTTTTATGCATTAGGGATTCATATGAAAAAGTCTCTCCTGTGCTTAATTGTTTGCCAGGAGGAAATTATTAAAGTTTGTGTTGATTATGGTATTGCCATTAACGAGCTGGTAGAAAGTAGGAATAAAAAATGTTTATCTGTACTGTGATGAAGTTTAATTACCCCGAATTATTTTATATAATGATTAAACAGCTTATATATTAGGTTTTGGTCTATTTTAAAAGAGGTTTCATGGGCAAATGGCAGTGCTGAATGAGGGTATCTTGAAGGAAGAAATGATAAACTAGAGTATTCCTTGGAAAGAGATGAAACCTCGATTACATATCAGTTGGAGAGTGTTCTTTTATTACTTTGAACATTATAAAGCTAGTGTGAAATTGTTTATCCTGGAATTAAATGGTGTTTTACTGGGGATTTTTATTTAGTTTTATTAACACATGGTTATGATTTCTGCACTGTTAAAGACATTCTAATATATTTATAATCTGGAACCAGTCACAGAGATACATTTTGTAGTAGCTACAGATTGATACAGAAGGATCATGCATTTTGGGGGGGCCATTTTTTGTTTTCTAATGAAAATATATAATACACAATATTATTATGCTGATAAATAAGTTATAACAAAATTTGTCCCAGTAGAATAAAACAAGTTAAATTTATATGGTGCTTTATTCTTGTGAACAAATTAATGAAAATCACTTTTCTGTAGTGCAAGAGATATATAATATTGGTGAGACTCGACGGGGTAGATACCAGATTTACTCACAGAACAAGTTGCATCAGGGTTCATGTTTTTTTCCATTCTACTCTGCTTCCTCCCCAAAATGTACTCCAATGTGATATTTTAGTTTAACATTTTTGAAGTGATCTTATCCTTTCCCACAATGTACTTCAAAGTTATGGGAACATTCTTTAACAAATATGACAGTGTATAAAAAAACACTCCTTAAAACAATCTCCTTTCATTCGTTGAACCAAGAGAGGCTGTTTGTATTGATGTGATTATTTGGTGTCCTTAATAGCTCCTGTGCAGTTTTTATTTTCTAGTCATTACTGTAGTATAGTGGCTTTTCCACAAAAACTTCATGGCCTTGAACAGGTATTTAATTTCTCATGGTCACAGTTTTCTTCTCTGTAAGAGAGAAGCACCCTGGATGATTTTTAAGGAAACTTTAATTATAATTTCTCTTACTTTATAATTTCCTTGTGCTATGTTCAGATAATAAACTCCAGAACATGAATTATATAGGAAAGTGGTTTTATATTTGTTTAATTCACGGCTGTATCCCCAGCCCCAAGAACAGGGCCTGGTGTATAGTGGGCACTCAAATTTGTTGAATAAATAAACAAAAATACAATATAAGGACATTTAATAATAAGAAATGGATGGATTATATTCTCATAGTGTGGTAATATTTAAAAGTTAAATTTTAATGCACACTTTGAAAAGATTATAGTTTTAAAGTACATTTAAAGACTGGCTCTTTATACACATATTTATTCAGCTGTGCAAGTAATAGTAAATCTGCTTCTAACCCTCCATGGGTAAAATTAGTGGCTCTCCATTGCCCTTTGGGTAAAGACTAAAAATTTTGCCTTGTTTTAGAAAGCATTCTTAGATCTGCTCTCTGCTTATTTTTTCAGCCTTTGTCTTCTTCAGTTTTTCCTCCTTTCCTGCCTGCTCCCTAATTCCCCTGCCCCTTCATGTTGACACTCTTAACTATAGCCACACTAAATTTATTTCAGGTCCTCAATGTTCTCCTACCTTTTGGTCATCCTACATGTTGCCCTTTCTTTCCTTTC